CTCCCATCTGTTGGTGCGCCACAAACGTTCCTGCATTAACTGCATAGATTTCACTATCCTATCAGGCTCTCGCTCTCTGGCATCGTGTCTTGGGGGTGGGGATGTTGACGGGTAAATTTCGGTTTCTGATGATACCATCAAGTTACACTGACCCGTTGTGGGTTCTCAGAGATATGTTTTCTGTCATATGCCATGATCCCCTTCTTCCAACAACGTTTGAAGCCGCCGCAAAGTATGAGTCCTGTGGAACCTACGAAATTGACAGAGATAGCACTGTGGAGGATATCTGTGACTTCGTTGTGGAATATATCAATTCAGACGTGTTGGTGCGTCACTTTTCTCTTCGTGGTTGGTCTGCTCGATTATTCAATTTTCATCTAGGGTCTCCTATCTGACAGATTGCTTGTCATTGCCGGTGTGTATCACTCTGTTCATACCCTTAACGAGAAATTTATTCTGATGGATTTAACAGATCAGTCTATTGTGTGTTTCTGGTTACTTTCAAGACGCACCTATCCTGATATTTTAACAGCAAGGCCTGCATGATCCAGAATGTATCATGCTCGCGGAGTTGTGTTCCCATGTTCGTTCAATTACTATTATGAAAAGAACTTGATTAAATCTTTCTTAAGGCTGTCGACTATCCGAAGCAGGGAATACCTGTGGATTTGGACGACAATAAATTGCCTCGCGCCTTGATACGATGCAAACCCGACTGGCACGCTGCTGAAGTAGTTTCCCCTCGACAAACCGACTACTATGAATCTAGCCGAGCTCTCGGATTATTGTATCGATCTATCACTCTCGGCGATCCCCAACCTATTCCTCCTGTACTGCCAGTCCAACCCCTTTCAGATCCTATAACTTTGACGCTCTTGGAAAGTGTACAGTGTCACTTGGGAGAATCTGCCATCGTCAATAACCACCCATCAGAGCTCCAAAAGCTATTCCGACGTTATGCGGACGAGTTGCGGTATATCTGTGCAACTCACACTTTGTCGGATGCGCCAGGTGTCAGACTATTGGAAGCTGAAGTTGTTGTTGGCACTATCTTGGCAAAATGTTCACAGAAAAGATGGAGAACGGATCGAATCTACCGCATGCGCCTTCACGCGTCAGCCCTCGTAAAACATGTTCGGCGCAATCTTATAGAAAGCATGAATGGTACCGTCTCTGAATTGATTGCCGGTCTTCAACTGGCGTGGAGTGCTTGGGACTTGAGCCTTCGTCGCAGAAATGAATTTGGAGCCAATAGCTTTGGGTTGATTGCTTTAGACAGAGTCTTTGATTGCCTTGATGAAATCGAATTGCGAGAAGGTTGAAAGGTGAGCTTTCTTTATAACTTTTGGCAAGAAACTCAACCACCAGTAAGCTGGATTTTTTTTAAAGAAAAAGAAAGAAAGAAAGGACTAAATAATGTCTATTTCTGAAATTCGGATACTGTTATATTCCTCATCATGAATGTATATACGACTCCCTACCTGTGTTGGTTTAGAACTTTCAACTGCTGCCTGATTATATATTCCCACGAGCGTGACTAAGTACGCGACATGTCATGAGATCAGGTGACCTCATCGTCACAACAGTAATCGTTACTACAAGTTTACTTCAAGGTTTAGACATAGATTATATCATGAAACGCAGCGCATCACCAGACTCCCCTGAAGCCAAACGTATCAAGATCTGTCCGGAATCCAGTCCCACTGCAACTTCTCTTGATCATGCGCCTGAACAATGCGCCTTGAACATAGCTCGACATGGTGTAAATCAAGCTGGGTGCATCTTGGGAAGTTTTGTAATGATATGGTGCAGAGAAAAGGAAATAGACTGCATTGTCGCCGTACGCTCGTCGACTCAGGAGACACACAGGTTTCATATACTTTTCAACACAAGCGAGGAGTCCCTCACAACGCTAACCTTGTCGCCAAAGGACGAGTTTCGCCTCTCCTTATATGGGGCTGAGATAGAAAAATTTCCGCAAATTCCCAAACTCTCTACCTTGCCTCTCAGGTTGGTGTACAAAAAAGGTGTACACATAGAATGGAAACCTCCAGGTTCGGAACAAATGAGAAAGGTAAACACATGGCTCTGTACGTTGTTCTCTATTGCTTTGCTTCTTATATCAATGGTGCAACTCTAGCGGACAAAGCAAACGGTGCTGACGACAACAGCTGGTATGGGACCCAAAACGCCACACTGTTACAATCCGAACGAAAACAGGGTGAAGTGCCTCCGCATGAAGAGGCGCGACCGCGGCAAGATAGAGAAGATAAAAGGCGTCGACGGGTAGAAGCGAAGCGTCAAAAATCAAAGACTGTTGTCGTTGAAGGAATTACAGAAGTTTCTGGGCCCAAGGTACCGCTTGCGGTTGTATCTTGCCAAAACGATGCTCTCCAAGTCCTGGAGGAGGCACCTTCAACAAATGCATCAATAATATGTCCTCAGCAGGATCGTCCATCCCAACTTTCTGGAGGTCTGCTAGATTTACAGGCAGGCTTACGGTCGGAAGGAGTAAGCATGTCATCATCCTTTGAACGGGAATCATCTGATCTGGAATGATTTTGTATAGTATACAGCCCTAAAGGATATTCGATTAGGGCAGATGGTCCATCTAGTCGGCATCGTCACCGCAATATCTGAACCCTCGCGCACCCGAAATGGCGGTATGTATCAATTAATTTCATAATGAGCTACCCTACTAGTTTTTCAGATTGGATGCGATTTATCCATATCATCGATCCAAGCCACCACGATGCAAAGGGATGGAAAATCAACTGTTTCACCAAAAAGTACAAAGAATGGCTACCCCATCCCGAGTGGTGGCACGTTCTTGTTTTGCGAAATGTCAAGGTAGTATCAATTCGTCAAAATTTCTCATCTCCAAGGTGCTAACTTATTCTTAGGTGGTATCCTTCCAAGATGCCCTTACAGGAACCGGATATAGTAACAAGCTCACTTGGGCTGCATTTTCTCCCTCTACAAACTCAATCTACCACGGACAGCTCACGGGTGTGCCCAGAGAAGAAGGTCTTGCAGATGGTGGGTTTGGCGTATCCTTTTCACCATTTTATCAACCAAAGGAACGCGAGGTCCGATATTGCTTGGAATTATCCGATTGGTGGCGAAAAGTACAAAAAATTGAACAATCGGAGTCGATCAAAGACACGGTAGATCCTGTACACAATGCACTATATGCCCGCAGAGTTCATCGCTTAATCAGCGAGGCTGGTCCTTCAATGCCACCTAATGGTTATTTTGACTGCACAGTCGAAGTCAGTGTTCTCAAAACATTCAAGACAATATTAGGTTCACGAATGCTAAATTGTGGCGCCTCAGGTTCTGAAGGGCTTTCCCTGTTTCAACGGCGTTCACAACCTTTATGTGACAGATTACACGCGCAACGATCAAATGAGGGGTGTTCAGAGCAGTTGGTGTCCGACTTCATTGTCAGATTTTGTGCTTCAAATGGAGATGTGGGACGGTGCAGCTGAAGTAGCACGAACGATGCAGGAGGGCGATTATTATCTCATCAAAAATGCTCGTATGCGGGCCAACCCTGCAGGTTATCTTGAAGGGAAGGTGGCGCAGTCAAAAATGGTTCAATTGGAAGAAAAAGACGCTCAGACGAATAAACATTTACAAACTTTGCTAGAGTTTGTGATCATTTGATTCTCCCGTTTATCCGCGACTGAGTACTTTCCAGGAGGAAGAAGGTTTGGGCAGCTAAACAACAGTCAGATACGGAAATTGCACATCAATTAATTCAAGACGTTGATGATTCAAAATTTTTCCACTGTACCGTCGAGGTTAGCGAACATATCTTATGTTTGTTTTGGGTGCTTATATATTGCAGCTTGTCCATGCTGCCTATAGCACATCTGATATATATGTGACTGATTACACCTCGCATCCCAGCCTTGGTATAATTGCCACTGATGAACCATGGTCTAAAGGCCTTGACAACTGTCTGGCCAGAATACGTCTATCCGATGAGCAAAGACATGTTGCAGAATCTGCCGTTGCTGGTAGTTTCTACAGTGTCAAGAAACTTAGACTGAAGTACAGCCCCACCGAGGGGTGCTTCCGTGGATTCTTAGGTGGGACCGAGAGGCTCATCCAGGTATTGAACCCAAACAGGACGGACAATGAGCATCTTAACGGCCTATTACGGTAGTCTCAATAATTTCCTTACTATGCTAGCTGACTTATGATCATAGGCGACGAGAAGCTTGGCAGCAGAAAGCGATTCAGCTGCAGCAAGCCCCCAGTGCGTTGCCAACTGGACCACCACTGATTGCACCTCCTCGACAATCTTACATTCGTATCAAAGACATTAGTTCTGAGGATACTGGCATCCAAAAGTATAGTGTCTTTGCAAGAGCCGTCGACTTTTACCCATTGAAACTAGAAGACGCTTTCTATCAGCTTTGCAAGCGCTGTAATATCGAGTGAGTGAGCCTTGTAGTTTCCGAGAACTGACTTGACCGAATTCTCTACTGGACGCAGGATTCCCAAGAGTAATCGGGCCTGCGTCGTCTGCTCAGATTTCGAACATCAATACATTCAATATTTATATCAGCTGTATGTCATGATAGAAGACGACGACGGAAAGCAGATCATGGTATCGATCAATGACGAAGTTAGTTGGTTTCTTTTGGAGCCGTCGCTTGAACTCACATGCCATAGTGTCCATTGCTCGAGGGATTGGAACGTGTTTATATGCCCGACAACATGGCAGCTTTGCGCACCTTCCGTGAACGATTGAAGCCCCTCCTTGGAAATCTCACCATGGTCCATAGTGCTTTACTATCTGAAAAAAAGATCGAAATTGACACTACCTTCGGGGTGTATGAGGTGGATAGCTGGGTACTTAAGGACAAACGCGCCTTCTGTCTGGTTAAATATGATCAAGTAATGACAAAATCATATTAACGGCCTTTGAATAAATCGGTATCAAAATTACAAGTTCTCGGCAAGAGATTTGATCAGAAAAAAGGAATCGACACCAGCAGGATTTGAACCTGCGCCCTCAAAGAGGAACAGATGCTTCATTCGAATCTGTCGCCGTAACCACTTGGCTATAGTGCCCATGCCTTAAATGCTTCAGTAAGCAATATGAATGGGTGTCAACATTAACCTCGTGCTTCCCGATTTGGTAATGTGTATGCGCTATGTAGAATAATAATTACGTAGGTGGTCGCAGAAACGTATACCAGGTACTTAGACGTATAGACAGTATGATTACTTGTATGGGATACCTGTTAGAATGTTATTGCGTGAAGATAAACATCCAGGGAATAAACGAACCGTTTTGGAGCTGTGAAGGGTAGTAGAAATAAATCAAGAGCAAAGGTAAAAGCAGAAGAGACTCACCCGTTGAAATTCATCATAAGCAGTGCTCCTAACATTCTCGTGTGCATTCCGAATAATGCCCATCATGGTATCCGCTGCCTGGCGTTCATTCAACTGTAAAACAAACCGGTCTCGTAGCCGCCGGATTGTTGGCTCTCCTTTGAAAGAAGGCAGACCAGAATCCAGCATCAGTTGGATGGTATCAATGATTTGTTCGGCATAAGGGCGTATCGCAAGGAATGCTTTGACAGCAAGGCTTTGGAAATTTTGATATCCCTGTGAGTATCGTCCTCCCATGAGGACAACCATCTCATGGTTAAGTTTGAAGGAATGCGGTTCGAATTTGATACCCTTGAATATTTATCAGCGAAGCGTTCATGGGAAGACCGGGTAACTTACTCCAGGGCGTAAGGAAAATGCAGCAAGAATAAGTTGAATGAAGGATAACAAACACGACAAGGCACTTATCTATATCAAATAAGAATCCAAAATCTGGAGGGAAATCAATGCTATGCTATTTGGAGGGATAGGACGAGGGACTAACCAATATGAATGATATGACCGTCACCATCAATCATAATATTGCCATTATGTCTGTCTTTGATTTGCAAGATGTAACAAGCGACTGAATATGCTGCCATTGACTGGATGAAATTCAGCCGTGCTAGCTGAAAACTTGTAGTATCCTGTCCGCCATACTTCGCGATGAAAAAGTCTAGTAGATCGTTGACCTTTGCCCGTCCCATTTCGTCCCGCGATGTTGCGTTCGGGACAACATCAATGACGCCGCACTGGCCCAGCAGGTAATGAGTCAAGGAATGCAGAAAAGAAAGTGTACACATACACCAGGGCCCGTCGCCGTTACTCGATATGGAAAGAGATACAAAGTCAAACCTACGCTTGTAAAGATGTTCTTGAACATAGCGATCACCTGAAGCGCCAGAACATCCTGACGGCAATCGTCCCCAACTTTAAATATGGCCTGCTGCCAGACATCATACTCTGTATACGTCTCAATCCCGCCACCATCCCCATTGAGAAGAGAGTCAGGATCAGTGTTGATCTCAACCCGTTCCTTCCTGACTTTGAAAGTTGCCATGAAAGGTGCCTATAGAAATAGATGCTTGGTTAAAACCAAATTAGAAGTAAAAAGCGAACACACCTTTGCATGACTTTGTAAAGGGCGCCCTGATTTTTTATCAATATCAACCACTATTCCATCGGGATTGCTTGGTAAGTACACCCCGATGTCCACATTTATCTTGGCCATCTCTTCGTCAATTTTTGCCTATGAAAATATCAATAACTTCATCTGGGACAATCGGCAACCACTACCTTTTTTTCTGGTTTCGTTTTCTTGATGTATGGCTTCAACTTCCCAGATATTGATGTGACTTCGTTGAAAAATGCAAATTCTCGATCGTAGAAAGCTCTCGCGTCTCCAGAAAGTGACCTTACGACTTTGTCTATCATTGTGTCGAGCATAGGCTTCATCGGGTCTTCCTGTAAGCATATCAGCCAAGCGAAACACCTTGAACGACAATACAAACAATTTCTGCTGCATCATCCTTGTAGCAATTGGCTTTCATGTTCCATATTATCTGATGGCAGAAGAGCTGGGATATCTTGGTTGTTTCAAATATGAAACGGGCAACATATCCTATGTGATAATAATGAATGCATTTTTATTTACTTCAAAACAAAACTCGTCTTACCAAGGTCGTCGTAACGGAGGGCTTGAACAACTTGGGGAATGAAAAAAAAAGTTAATTCCACCGGATGCTGTGCTAACACTCGATGAGCGTATTGCAAGATCAAGGGATCGCTGTTGAATCGGCGTTCAAAGAACGTGTTTGCGATAATCGGTGGCACAGGAGCCCAGAGCAGAAGATGCTTAGGAATTTTGTCAAGACTGGCCACACTTAAGATCAGACTGGACATTACCTTAAGATCCCTGTGGACATGAGGGTCTACTTTATCTCCTAGAAGGAAGGGTAACGCCCCGGGAATACCAAGAAAGTCGACAGTATTCGAGCGAACCAATTTTGCGACCTCCTGTCGAATCATTGGTGTTTTGTAACGTTCAGTGAGGTATACCGAAATAGCAGGGTCTATACGCCAAAGTGTTCGAACGATGGTAGGCCAGGATGTCTGTAGAAAATATAAGCGGGTAAAAAATGATGAGATTTTGACTTACCTCAAGCAATGTACGTTCTGTATTACTAATGAGGTCACTCCCTTTGCTTGTCTCATTTGTTGGGTTGTTCCAAACAGATAGTCGGAATATTTCATTTTCTGTCAACAATCGCAAAGGAAGGTTAAGGCTGCGCATTCTATCGGCGTGGTCTGGGAGGGTGGGGGACTTGTAAGTAAGAGTTTTCGTTTGTTAGAAATGTCAAATAGTCTCACGTATAGACGACACTCGAGTTGGGGACAGGCTGGATATAGAAGGCAGAGCGCGAACCGAGTCTGACTGAAGATATGCCAAAAATTCTGACAGGACTTTAATGTCGGCATCAACTTGTACGCGATTGGCTCCATATGACCACCTACAAGACAATAAATGATTGCCAAGTAGAAAAGGATCAAACATACTGAGGGCGCACAGCAAACCAAGAGAAAGCAACTGAATAGAGACACTCCCTTAAGTTATTCTCACAGTAGGCATCAAGATGAGAACTTTTTAGAGTTTCAAACCCAAAGAGGAGGAAAGAGAAGCGAGCCTCACGGGCAAGGGCATGAGTACTTACAATTGGTTAGCTTCCCTCGATCTCAAGACGGAAAAATATTCACCTTAAGGTGCTGAACGCTCTGGCTGACCGCAGTACAAGATGTTGGATTATAAACATAACCCCAGGTCTATGATAGCGTGCAGCTTGAAGTCGACTGAAAAGCATTTGCAAGACCAAAGCATGTGGCGTTAACATTCTTCGGGCTTGAGCCAGTCCTCTATCGATGGCTTCTTTATCGGTTGGGCTATAATTGTTGACATGATAGAATGGATCTTCATAACTGGACATCATCAGTAAGGAATAAGAGTCACACAATATTTGGCTTACTTCAACGACTTCGAGAAAAGCCCTTTCTGCAACCAGATCGTATCTGACCAAGCAGATAGAATCTCGCCCATCAAACTAACCTCCACTTCGGATTTTTCAGCGATTACCCAACTCCAAACTTCGATTCCAGATGTGATAGCCGAGGGAGTAGCCACACCAAAAGGTAAGCTAACCAAATAATGCAACAACTCATAGTCATTCTATTTACTTCTGTGAGTGAGAATCAGCAACATTTGAAATAGCCGGTCGCACCTTTTTCAGAGAAATAAGGGTCGCTGCACATCGAAAGAGTAACCGTCTCAAATCATGAACAGTCAGGTTACTGTTTTTCGCCCGAATTTCTTCCATGGTATCTGATAATTTGGCCTTCAAGGCCTTAATTTCTGTCGACGGTGCGTTTTGGGGTGGTAATGTAGCTAGCTTATCACTACCTGGGTGAATAGTCAATAATAGGTAAAACGAAGGATGAAATGCTGATAACCTTCACGATTTGCCAGACGAAGGCCGGCCGCCTCTCCTGCATAGTATCCCTTTATTGCAATTTGGCTTGCAAGGGCTTTTGCAGCATCAAGTTTCCATGGTGATAAGGACGACAGACACACTGGGTTACAATAAGACCGTCAGATTAGAGAAATTCACTGTTATGGACACACACACCTAGTTGTCGATGAACTGGTCCTATGGCTTTTCCAAATTGTTCTGCAATAGAGGCGCCCAGTTCTGCGTAATTGATGGCGGCAGTTGGCTGATAAACGGCCAAGTATTTCTTTGTGGACGTGAGATTTAGTATGCCAAAAAAAAAAAAACCTACCTGCAAGGTTGACCGGAGCTCCATAGGAGCACGACCCAAGGCCAACTCAAACCAGTTGTTCGCATTCCGCTTCAATTGACCAAGTATTTCTTTGCGAATTCGGTAGCTATCTGTCAGTTGAAGCGTTATGTCACTTCTATCAGAGCGGAATTCATATATAGGATTGTACTGGGGATATTCAATGATCAGCATCGCTTTATCCGATAGTTTTAAAATTTACCTCGTCGATATACTCGTTTTCGCAGGCCCGTTGGAGCAATGTAAGGACTTCAAGGATGGCAAAGACGAGCAGCGGATCACACATAAGAGAAGGGAAGGATGTTATTAGACGATTGAGATACTTGGAAGCGATGTCTCTGGCCTTGGCAATGCGATGGGTGCTTAAGACTACAAGAGTGTGAAGTTCGGAAGAGAGATGCTTTGGTAGAGCTTGCTGGGATGCTTTGACATTGAGATCATTAATGGAGTCTCGTACGACCTTAACCATTCATCACGTCTCGGTCATAGAAGACAAGTGTTAAATGACAGACCTTTTCTGCGATGGATTCCATACACGCACTTAGGCCAAGATGTTTGTTCAAGCTCTCGTTGATGAAGTATGAAACCAGCGACGATGGAAATCCTGCAGCGGAGCGCATACTCTCGATGTCATGAAGTGTTAAAATAAAGATAACTTGGCCTGATGACAGGTGTCGACTGTCGCTCGCACGATATGCGATATATCTCGTCAAACAACTCCGGTGAATATCTATGACCTGCAATAATGGTAAATAAGGAGACGGGGGGAAAGGTCGCGGGTGCCATACTAACCGTATTAGCATATTCTTGTCGAATCACAGAGATATATTCGACATCACTGGCTGCTG